AATAGGGATTATAAATTATAATTCTATAGTATGAGACAATATATTCATGTAATGTTTAAGAAAAGTTTTGTAAATGAGTTCCAATAGTTCATGGATTAGGGACCCAAATTTATGGGGTTCCAGGGGCTTCTGTATAGATTATTTAGGTTAATCTTTCTATCTACTCAGTGCTCAGTCTAGAAGATATCATCAGAGATGCTTAGTTTTGCAGTTCCCAAACTGTGGATTTGTGTCTCCAGAGATAAATTGCTTGTTAACAGCAAAAATGGTTTTAAATAAATAAATAAATATACAGTGGTGAGAAATAAAAGACCTCAACCCTATTGTCCCTCTCCAAATTTGTGTACACGGAGTCAATCCCTTACCTCTCTCTAAAAGTGCAAAGTTTCAAAAAGTTCAATGAATAGAAGATTGTTGGGGGCGGAATAGATCTGGACAAGGAGAAGAAGTCTGGAGATAAACGTGAGAAGGGATGAACAGTAGGCAGAAACAAAAGTGAAACTGTTTGAGCAGCATATTCCTGAAGTCTCAAGGTCTTCCTGAGTGTAGCTTTCATTGATTTGAGAGCTACCAGACCATTCTCACTAGAAGGGAAAACCTATGATGGCAGCAGGCAGTAACAGAGACCCAGTTTGAGAATAAGAACCATTCAAGACATATATGTTTTCTGATGTTTTAAAGAAAGTCACACCAGTGAACTGGAGGAAGTCACTTAAGCACTTTGATTCAGAGACTGTTGAAGTGATAATCTCACTTTTAACTTCTTTTAGCTTCTTCTGCTGATGTAGAAAGAATATTTTCTTCCTTTGGACTAATTCATTCCAAATTGAGAAATCGTTTGGGACCTGAAAAAGCAGGAAAGCTTGTTTTTCTTTTCCAGATTACAAACAAACAGGAAAATGAAGGTGAAGACGACTGAGTTAGCTGCAGAAGCCAATATTTTAAGTTTCTCATGTTGACCTGGCTGACAGAGTCAATTTAATTTTTGTTTTTTTAAACATTTCATTTAACTATTTTAGTTAAAAAACAATTTTAACAAAAACAAACCTGATTTTAAAAATCTTGAATGTTTAAATTCAAAAATTCATATGCTTGTTTCATTAAAATATTATATGTTTGCTGTTGAAGAAAAAAATCCATAAAATACATAAAGTTGTTGTTTTAGTTAAATAAAACAATTTAAATGTCTGTCTGATGATGTTCTCCTCCTAATACATCAGGGCAAGAAAATCCTCCAAATATTAATGATTCACCTGTTGAATTGGAGATAGATATTTATGAAGTCATTGGGAGGTGAACTGCTTCAATTATCTTTGGTAAATGAAATAACCAATCATTCATTTTCTGATACAGCTGTAAACCTAATCTGAAAAGTTTTAAAAATAAATCACTTAAAAAATGTACATAGTGTGTACCTTCTAAAAATGAAACCTACATCTATCTCCGAGTTGTGAAGAATATGTATTAAGGTTATAACAACCAACAAGAATGCACTTTTATGTAGAAATCCATAATTAAATCGAGTCTTCCTGACAAGTGATTTAAATCATGATTTAAATCAACTCAATTTACATCAAATCCACCCCGCCACACCACAAAACCATCCATCGTAACCAAGCTGCTTACCAGTTCTATAAAGTGGCATCTGAACTATACCTCCCAACCCAATCACAAGGGACTGGGTGTGGAGGTGTCTCACCCAGGGCTGAGATGAGTCAGAGAACTTGGGCACTGTGGGGGAAAAGCTTATTATACTACTGCTGACCATATACTGAACCTGTTGCACAGAGAAACTGACATCAACCTCCAGGGCTGTCAGTCTAACACTCTTCACCAGCACTAATCTTCGAGCAGCCAGGTATGTGGTGCTGACTACAAAGCATCATGAGGGCTTCACACACTAGGGGTCTCCTGTGTCCTGGAACTGGAATTCTATGGATACAGGGTCCCATCGAGACCTAATGGGTGAACTGGGACAAGCTCTCAGAGAAAGGAACATACGCTATGGACTGTACCATTTTCTCAGAGTGGTTTAATCCTCTGTATTTACATGATCAAAAAAATGGCATCAAGACTCAGAATTTTATCTTTTCAAAAACTATGCCAGAGCTTTAGGATCTTGTTTTGAGGTATAAACCAGATCTGATTTGGTCAGATGGTGATTGGGAGGGTCCAAACACATATTGGAACTCTACCTCTTTCCTTGCCTGGCTTTATAATGATAGTCCTGTGAAGGATGCTGTTGTGATAAATGACTGTTGGTGCAACAACTGCTTCTGTCATCATGGAGGATACTATAACTGTGCCGATAAATACAAGCCGGGCACCCTGCCACAGCACAAGTGGGAGATGTGCACATCTATTGACAAAAGGTCTTGGGGCTATTAAAGCAACATGCAACTCAACGAGCTCATGGATGAATCAACTATTATCTCAGAACTAGTGCAGACTGTGAGTTTTGGAGGCAACGATCGTCTCAACGTGGGCCCCACAAAAGAATGGGTGATTGTTCCAATCTTTCAAGAAACGCTTCTGTCCCTTGGAAAATGGCCGCGTGTTAATGGGGAGGCAATTTATGCTTCTAAGCCATGGAGGGTGCAGATGGAGAACACCACAATCCATGCACGGTACACTTCTAAAGGATCAACTGTCTATGCCATCTTTCTGACCTGGCCAGAGGGTGTTGTGTTGAAGTTGTCTTCACCTATTCCATCTCCAAGCACACAAGTGACTAATATGCACTTTTTTCAGAGGAACAGCCGTGTTAGTCTGTATTCGCAAAAAGAAAAGGAGTACTTGTGGCACCTTAGAGACTAACCAATTTATTTGAGCATGAGCTTTCGTGAGCCACAGCTCACTTCATCAGATGATGAAGTCATTCATCTGATGAAGTGAGCTGTGGCTCACGAAAGCTCATGCTCAAATAAATTGGTTAGTCTCTAAGGTGCCACAAGTACTCCTTTTCTAATATGCACTTAAAATTTAAATTAAAGTTTTGGGCTGTATAAGTGTATTTTTGGAAAAAGACCAAAAAAGCAAAGGCAATAATCACAGAATGCTCCATGTGCTTTGACAGGTGTGTCAAGCCTCTGATTTGGTGTTATGAGAAAAGAGAGAGACAGCAGATCAGATGTGGACAGAAATGACAAATGGACATCAGAGCTCAAATGCCAAATGGTGTGTAACCCTATCTCGGGTGGGTTGTATCCCTCCCTCTAACACACACCTAGCACTTGTTTTCTTCTTGTGTTTTCGCAACACTTGTATAGCTTGTCATGTCAGCAAAGCCCTACCAAATTTGAACTAGATTGAGGTATACTCTATGAAAGTCCTAGACACTAGTTTTCATTTCAGCTGCCTCTCACGCCCAAAAGGAAAAAAGTGAAAACCTCATTCTCATACACCCCAAACTGGTATTTCAGGCTTAACAAGGGGCGGGGACCAAGTCAACCTGATGTACTAAGTGTTAGAGGAAATCTAAGGGAATTCTCATCCTAAAATGCTACCCCATTTCCTTAGCAGAATGAGGGAAAGGATGTTAATCAATTTCTTAGGTGGGCTGAAGTACATATGCTTCTCTGAGACGTTTCCCTAGGCAGGCAGCTGGGAGGCCAGCCTCTTCACCCCAAAACTCTCACAGTCCTCATCACTCTTAAAGGGCAGAGAAATCCTTGTTCCCCTTTCTCATCAGGGACTCAGATGGTTCTTGGAAACTAGATGGGGAGTCTCACCTGGCTTGCAAGTTTAAAATGGGGCAGTGGGAGACAGGGACACTGAAGAGACTGGTGTCTGGGAGAGACTGTTCTCGCAATGAAGTGGATTTGGTGGGTCTGAAGACTTTCCCCAATGGAAGAAAAGGGTGTAAATGTTGCTGTCAGTGGATCCAAGACCACACCACTCAAGAACAGAATAGAGGGGTTTCTACTATGAGGGAGAGAGTCTCCAGGCTTTGCATCTCTGGGTGTGGGATGGTGAGGTGGAAAAGAGACTCTGGCTCCACTGATTGGAAGATGTGTCCTGAAGATAGGTGGAGGGAGCCTATGAATGTGGTGGAGAGTCACTTCTTGGGGAGATGAGGTCCCCTGCCTTTTGGCTACCATGAGCCAGAGTGGAAGGGGTCACTCCCTAGATGAGATCCCATGCCAGTCCTAAGAGAGAGGGGATGAAACCTAAGGTCCCCCACAGCTGTTGGGTGGAAGAATGGAGGGCTAACAAGGCATGGCTGTCCCTTTTCAAGGGAGGGGCCCCAGGTCCCCCAAAGACTGGAGATGAAGAGAGACCTACTCTCCAGGTTCCTTAATTCCACAACTGTCTCTCTGTCACAGAAACACTGGGGAGAGCCCCCTCCCAGAGGCTCCTTCGGCTCTTAGCCACGGGGATCCTGGGGTGAGCCGAGCTCCCACAGCGCCTCATCTGACCCTGCTGCGGGGGTGCCAGGGAGGGGCAGAGACTAGGACACAGGGTCTCGCTCTCCCCGGGTCACTCCGTCCCTGAGAGGCTGGGAGAGGAGATGGGACCCAGTCACTTTCCCCAGTATGTGTGGGTTTCTCTCTGCAAGTCCTCTCCAGGGCTGGGAGATAACTGTGGAGTCTCCCCAGCCTGGGGGGATGAGTGGGACGGGACTGGAGAGGGGGTCTCCCCAGGCTAGGGGGATGGGGGAAGCAGGGGCCCAGATAGGGGGGATGAGTAGGGTCTCCCAGCAGCAGGGGGCAAGTGGGCACAGTGGGAGAATGGGGGGGGGGGGATGAGAGAACGCAGTGGGAGAAAGAGGACGGAGTGGGACGGGGGGAATGAGGGGGCTGGGAAAGGGGGAGGAGGGGGTCTCCCCAGGCTGGGGGGAGGAGGGAAACAGAGCAGAGTGGGAACCACGCAGGGGAATGAGGGGACCCGGTGGAAAAAGGGGGGGATGAGGGGGGTCTCCCCAGGCTGGGGGAAGGTGGGGACCCCGCGGAGGATGAGGGGGGGTCTCCCCAGGCTGGGCGGAGAGGGGGTCTCCTCACCTGGCTCTCGGCCGCGGGGATGCCGGACTCCAGCTCGCAGAGCGCCCGGAAGTTCTGCAGCTCGAAGTCGGCGTCCACCTGCAGGGAGAAGGTGAGCTCGGAGCGGTCCCGGCGCAGGCAGAACACGGTGAGCAGCATGGCCGGGCCAGGCCGGGCTCCGCCACCAGCCGCGCCGCCGCCCCGCGCCCGCTGCCGTAAAAGCCCCGCCCGGCCGGCAACTGTCGCGCCGCGGCCGGAAGTGACTCGGGCGGGGTCAGCTCAGTGCCCCGGCGCGGCGCCGCCCCGAGGAGCCCCCGGGACCCCGCACCCTGGGCGCGGAGCCGCTGCCGCCCGCTCGCCGGCCCCCTTGTCACTCGCCGGCCCGGGGGGGGGCCCTCTGGCTGTCTCGCCCCGCACCGGCCCCCTTGTCACTCGCCGGCCCGGGGGGGGGCGGGGAGGCTCTGGCTGTCTCGCCCCACACCGGCCCCCTTGTCATTCGCCGGAGAGGGGCGGGGGGGGGCTCTGGCTGTCTCGCCCCGCACCGGCCCCGTTGTCACTCACCGGCGGAGGGCGAGGGGGGGCTCTGGCTGTCTCGCCCCGCACCGGCCCCCTTGTCACTCGCTGGCCCGGGGGGGGGGCGGGGAGGCTCTGGCTGTCTCGCCCCACACCGGCCCCCTTGTCATTCGCCGGAGAGGGGCGGGGGGGGGCTCTGGCTGTCTCGCCCCGCACCGGCCCCCTTGTCACTCGCCGGAGAGGGGCAGGGGCAGCTCTGGCTGTGTCGCCCCCCAACAGCCCCCTTGTCACTCGCTGGCTGGGGGGGCTCTGGCTGTCTTGCCCCCCCCCGGCCCCCTTGTCACTCGCCGGCCAGGGGGGGTCTCTGGTTGTCTCACCCTGCACCGGCCCCCTTGTCACTTGCCGGCTGGCCGGGCGGGGGGGGGCGCCTCTGGCTGTCACACGCCCCGCACCGGCCCCCTTGTCACTCGCCGGAGAGGGGTAGGGGGGGCTCTGGCTGTCTCGCCACCCACCGGCCCCCTTGTCACTCGCTGGCGGGTGGGGCTCTGGCTGTGTTGCCCCCCACCGGCTCCCTTGTCACTCGCTGGCTGGGGGGGCTCTGGCTGTCTTGCCCCCCACCGGCTCCCTTGTCACTCGCTGGCTGGGGGGGCTCTGGCTGTCTTGCCCCCCCCGGGCCCCCTTGTCACTCGCCGGCCAGGGGGGCCTCTGGCTGTCTCGCCCCCCACCGGCCCCCTTGTCACTCGCCGGCCCGACGGGGGGCAGCTCTGGCTGTCTCGCCCCCCACCGGCCCCCTTGTCACTCGCCGGCGGGGGGGGTGGGGGCGCTCTGGCTGTCTCGCCCCTCTTGTCACTCGCCGGCCGGGGGGGCCCCCCTCTGGCTGTCACGCCCCTCACCGGCCCCCTTGTCACTCGCCGGCCCGGCGCAGCGCTCCTGCTCCCTGCCCGTGGGAGTAGTGGGGTCTTCCCAGCCCCTCACCTGCCATGGCAAGGCCTGTCCAGCACCTCGTCAGCCTCCATTTTTCTCCTTGGGGCAGCGGGGGCAAGCCCGTCCTGCTCCAGAGGTTTTTAATTCCTCGCTTGGCTTGAGTTTTACAGTATTTACAAGCTGGGCCGGAGGAGTGACCTTATACAAACCAAACCAAAGCCCAACACAAAATAAATACAATTCCTGGCCCGCCTCCCCGTCTGTTGGTTTGTGGTTTCCAGCCCTTCCCCCAAACAGAAGTAAACTTGCTTATTCCTACCTTTCTTTGCTAGGTTAAAGAGCCCTTTAGTATCTCAGCCTTGTAACAGGAACCTCACTACAACCTTAACTCTTGAGATAGGGCCATCTCCCTACAATATGGCAAGATCCATGTTTTATTTAATCTGGAAAAGAGAAGACCAAGGGCAGACATCAAAACAGTTTTCAAGTACATAAAGGATTATTACAAGGAGGAGGGAGAAAAAATTGTTTTTCTTAACTTCTGAGGATAGGAAAAAAAGCAATGGGTTTAAATTGCAGCAAGGGAGGTTTAGGTTTGACATTAGGAAAAACTTAACGGTCAGGGTGTTAAGCACTGGAATAAATTGCCGAGGGAGGTTGTGGAGTCTCCATCACTGGAGATTTTTAACAGTAGGTTAGACAAACACCTGTCAGGGAGAGTCTAGAGATCATATTTAGCTCTGCCACGACTGCAGGGGACTAAACTAAATGACTTCTCGAGGTCCCTTTCAGTTCTATGATTCTATTTCATTGTCCCGTCTCAAATAGTTTCCCAAACACTCACAAGGTGTTTAGCTTCTGATATAGAGTTCATATGGCCAATTTAGAACCAGCCCTAGATTTATTGTATGTAAAAAATGTGTTCCTCTCTAAGAAACCTCACATGACTGTAGTAGGAAGAGAGCCTGAGACATAAGCCCCTGTATCAGGCCTGGTATGAGGCAGGACCTGCTCACACAATCGGGCAAGAACAGGGCTATTGCAGAAATACACATTCCTAAGAAGTGCTAGGCACAGAGTACTTATGCAAACATCCTGATATCAAGTGGCACCAGAACATCCCGATATCAAGGATGGAACAAAAATATTCCGCAAGGATAACAGGAACATACTGACCCCCTCCTAAAAGAGAAGGTCAGGATGACAGTATGCAATAAAAATGTTTTGATCAAGCCAACATGTACAAGGTGATGGGTGATAACTACCCATGTCTGGGGGCAGTAACTATGTCAGAGGCAGTATTAACTTGTTTGTATCAGGGTATAACTGTGTATCAGAGGCAGTATCTTTGTCCAGCCAAGGGGGGGGAACATGGAAGGTCCTGCCATTCACTGAGCTGCGTCCATTGTCACGGGCATACAGGTCTTAGTATCCCTGTAGAGTATGCCAGGTGCTATTATGGTGCTTTGTCAACAAACCTGGCCTGGTGCCTTCGTACCTTAATGGATCTTGTGGTCATTGGGTGGTTTGCTCGAGGTCTGCTATGCCAGCTGTCTGCGCAGAGCTGGGGCAGCACACACTGAGAACACACACATGCAGCTGAACGTCTAACCACAATGACAAGTCAGAAACTTCAGCAGAAGGTGAGAGGAACAAATCTTTATTCTGGAAATGAACAATCTTGAGGCAAAAGCCTTTCTGAGAAGGGGTGGAAATAATAAAATTGTTTTAGTTTTTTTTTTTCTCCTCATGAAACACCAATATTGGAATTGCCATTGCACTGCCAAACATTTTGATCTCTTGTGGACATCAGTGGCTTCCTCTCAGACAAAAGTTTTCAATTTTTCTCCCACTAGTCACTCTTATCTTAAAAACCCCCATAGCTCATCTGGCTCCTACCAGCTGAGGATTCCAGTCCCCAAACATTTATAATCTGTGCCCTGAGTGCTGCCAGTCTCCACATGGAGCCAATGTCTTGGATGAGGGCTCTTCCTCCGGCTGAGATGATATCTCAGTCAGATTTCTCCTTCTCCTTCATGTGCAAGAAGACGATGCTGAACATGAAGAGGCCTATCATCATGGAGAAGGCACTGGCATAATATGGATACGCTGACGGGATAAAACGCTCATACTGTGTGTGCTGGAGGGGACGCACAGACACCTGGGAGAGAAAAGAACACAAGACCAGGGTCACAGGAGATGAGGTCATTTAGTCCTCTGTGTGGCAGGACTATCTCAGCTCTAGATGTGTTATTTAACTTAATGCCCATTCTGACAATGCCCCACTCAGATGACTGTAGAACCAGATTACCTTACTGGAAAGATACATGTATGAGAGCTCCTAGAAGTGGTTCAATTATATCTCTCGTTTTTAAACGAGAGTTTTAAGCTCCAAATCCTCAACTTCTGTAAAAGCATGTTGGCAAACCTTAAGCGTCAGTGCAGGCAGTGCTGGCGAGGGTCCAACACTGCCTTGAGACAAGAATGTGTTTAATGAGGGTAAAACGCTCTCTACAGAGGCTTATTTCCAGACCTTCCTAAATATAACTGAAGATGGTCACAGAGTAAGATAGCTTTCAAATCCATTTCACGCACAAAGGAAGGCTGGATGCAACTTCATGGTCATTAAGATTAATAGCCCATGTGGTATCCACTCAAAACATTTGCAAAGTTTAAAATCCTGACTTGAAATCTCAACCAATACTCTTACATTTCCTACCACACAGACAAGATAATTCAAACTATTTACCTGTGTAGAGGAGTACAGGTGGGTGTATCCCAGCCTGTTATAATCCACTTTAAACTGAAACACTCCATAGACATCCGGCAGCTTGAACTGCACACTATATCTGCCACCTAGGGGAGAGGCAGGACCATTTAAATTACACAGTAAATAGAACAAGAGCATTAGGAGTTAAGATCCCTCATTGGAAGTTCTTTCCTCACCTCCTTCCATTTGTAATGGCCCTTTGTCTCCCCCAAACCCACTTTGTGGAGCTTTTCATCCAGATTGAAAACTAGCCTCTGGAACCCAAAGCTGCTCCACTGGAAGAAGGAGCTGTAGGAGAGCTGTGTGAAGTGCACCCTTCCTCTTAACAGTGGAGCATGCTTCCCATAGAGATTCTATACACTACCTGCTCAGAAGCACTGTAGCGTTCCAAGTCAATACATACGAGCAAGGTGAGTTTCAGTGGTGGGGGAAGAAGTCAACACCCAGTCTTGTGTTATTGTTAACAAAGCCATAGGGCAGAAAACATTAAATTGTCTGATAGGAGCCCTACCATTTTTCTTCAGGAAAGTCCTTACAAATGGATCAATGCGGACAAACTCCAGCTGAATATCATCGCCATCAAAGGGGACCCACCTCCCTTCAGAGAGCTTTTCAATCACAATGCTGTACTCCTGTAACATACAAATGCACGCTGCATTAACAGAGGCATAAAGGAAGAGGACACATTGTTAATGAGTAGGGCCCTACCAAAGTCACAGCTGTGAAAAACATGTCATGGACCATGAAAGCAGACCTCCCCTGTGAAATGTAGTTATTGGAGGGGAGGGGCAGGGGACACCCCAGCTGAGGGCTCCTACCATTCACTGGGCTCAAGCTGGGGAGGGACAGGACTTCCTTTTCCCCTGAACGGCCATTCTTGGGGGAGGGGGGGGGGGACCAGACTCAGCTCCAGCTATCTCCCCCAGCTGTAGGAAGCTCTGCAGCTGCGCACAGCCCTGAAGGCAGCAGAGAAGTGAGGGTGGCAATTTTGTGACCCCCCCCCCCGCACACGCCCCCCCCCCTTTTGGAT